GCATTTATGAATTGGAACCATAAAAACTGTGAATGTAATCTAGCGTCCATATGCATGCCTGACGTGCATGTGCACGAAGGGGAGTCAGTGTTCATGGTGAAATTTGGCTCACAGTAAGTCGTACTGTGTTCTAAACCACATCAGCAAGCCTATGTGACCTTAATGAACACCTGGAGGCCCTTTAAGCAGGTTGAAAAAAAGTTTTGTGGACAAGACTTGGGTGACTATTGACTTCTAGTGTTTGTTAGCATCGTTAGCCTTGTAGCTCCAGCACTAAACTAAAAAAGCAAGATTTGGACACCGAAAACGTTTTGTTGATCAAGTACATCTGGGATAAGTGGAAAATTGTGCAAATTAGATTTTTCACCAAATTATTCCTTTAAGGGTGTAATGATTTAGCCAGTCCTACAGCACCACAGTTGAAGATCATGTCCTATATATTTGTACAATATTTTAACACATTTTAATAATCACAAGCAGCACACATTTTAGACGAAAACCCACTGGCACTGGTCTATGGAGATGATGGGTGGTTATGACCTCCTGGGAATGTTAAATATGACATGCAGCAGCTGGAAAGAGAGGCTTTGAGTTTGCAGACACGTTTTTTGCAAATATTTTATCTCTATCATTGTTGCCAAAACAGTTGTGGATAGAGATGGATTAGACAGCATAAAAGACATTAAAAACTGTGCGTTCCACTGTGGAGATTCGGGCAAAGATGAATTCGCCCTGAGAAATGTACTCAATTACAACTTCAACTCTGCGGAGACCTTTTAAATCAGACGTTTGGTTACCTACATGAGCTGGCAGATGAGGAAGATTAAACAAGCATAACATGTTTATTATGTGGGACTCTGAAGACATGCATTACCCCCAACTTACATAAGAGAATTAGATAAACACTGTTTTGCCAGGAAATAACAGATTAATTGGGTCATTATCCCTCATCCCTGGACACAGTGTGAGAGCAGGAACTTATGCATTCTGCTGTAGCAGAAATATCCTGACAGTATATACATGCATGTAAACATAACCTGGAGCGCTCGCTGCATTTACATGTTTTTGTCCTGCTGTGTGACGTTTTACCGAGTGCTACATTTCCCCAAACACTAACATATCATGCTACACAAATAAGACTGAAGAGAGAACATAATAGCAGTAGAGTTTTTGTGTGTGAGTGATGTTGGACTGGACTCCCAAATACTTTCTTAAAGAACGAGCTGGGAGTAGCTGTACGGCATAAACCCACTGACCCATCGCATGCAGTCCCGTGAGTGGACTGTCAAGTCAAAGGGGACCAAACAGCTGGTCACAAGAAAAGGCTAAAAGGGAAAGCAGCGGCCGCTGTCCACCCCGCTCATCAATCCTGCTATTGTTATGGCACTATTCATCTGGGAGTCACTGATATTTAAGCAAAACATATTTTCATAATTCTTCCAGCCCCCGCTATCCTCCTTGTTTTCTTTTGGACAAAGATCTAAGGCGAAAATGTGTATATGTAACATCTCATATAAGCACTGTGAGTACAAGAAGAGATTGATATGTGTGTTTGAGATGCAAATGGACATCAGACAAAGGAATCCTTGTCCCGCTGACCTTGATTGGCTTGGATGGGGTTTCTGGGTCAGTGGGGTAAGCAACAATACCAGCCTAACATCATTACAGCTCCAAAATCAGGGCCAGAGACCCTCTGACCTCAAGTGACCCCAGTAATTAGTTGTAATACTGAGTGTGTTGCAGAGTGTCGTAAGTCAAACTGTTAATTGGCTCGTTATTGCTTCTTTCAAGGTTTCAGGTTAAATAATAGTGATTTCTTACGTAATTCTCTGAACCGGGCACTATTGTCAAGAAATTTAAACCCAAACAGAATATTTTCTATGCTGTGCAAAAGTCAGAGACCACCCTTCATTCACTTTTCTACTCAAAACAGCCAATAAGTACAAGTTATTTATTTTTTCAGCATCAAGAAAAAAACACAAAACAAATGTTTAACTGAAAATTACACAGCAGCCTCAGAAACTAAATATAATATCAACTTTTTCCATTGTTATTATCACCCTTTGTCTTCATTACAGCTTCCTTTCTTCTGAAGAGACCTGCTTTTAGTTTTCCACAGACATCTGCAGGGATATTTTGCCATTATTCCAAAGTTCAGTCTTAGAAGCCAGTGGTATTTTCTGGTTTTCATGACCCAAACACATTCAGTGATGTTGAGGTCTGGACTCTGGAGTGGTCAGCCTATTGTTCTGAGAACACCAGCAGCTTCTTTGCTTGAATTGCAAATTCTTTTTGTTGGATTTTCTGCTTCTCACAATCCAAATAATCCCAAACACCTTTAGTGATGTTGAGGTCCAGACTCTGCGGTGGTCAATCTGTTGTTCTAGGAACACCTGCAGTTCTTTGTTTGAATTGCAAATTCTTTTTTTTTTTTGATTATCTGCTTCTCAGAATCCAAGTAATCCCAAAGATATTCAATGATGTTGAGAGCTGGACTCTGGAGTGGTCAATCTATTGTTCTGAGAACACCAGCAGCTTCTTTGTTGTCTCCTTTTCTCAGTAAGAGCTTCTTGACAGCTACATATCCTTACAGATTCATAGTACTGAGTTGTCCTCTCACAGTGGAAGGATGGACAGATCTGAAGCAAGAGAGGAGCTTGATTTTCTCTTAATGATGAAAAACTTAACCACTGTCCATCTGATGGGGACAGTGTGGGTGGTCTACGCAACTAAAAGATAAATAAATAAATAAAAATAAGTTTTAATCAGTTAAAAAAGAACAATGAAAAGTCCAGCAGCGGGGGTCCAAGACAAAACCCTTTAACAATAAGAGTATGTTTTCTCAGTGATGATGAAAATCTGTAAAATTACAGTCATTTAATATCTTAGAAATACCGTCTTTTGCTGTAATTCAACACTAGTTCATCTAGTTATTCTGATATACAGTATTTTACCATCATAATAGCAGTAACAACCATTAAAACAAACATAAATAAAATGTAAAAATGTAAAAAAAAATAAAGGGGATCATTTGTTTACATTCTGTTTCTGTAAATTAACAACAGCAGTGTTAAAATACAGTATATTTATTTTTGGTTACATGCATTTTACCTAGTTTTAAAATGGTATTGATTGAATTTTACAGTAATTTGACAGTAAAATCAGGTGTACCAGGTCTCGTATGGCTCTTAGGAGTCCTATTTTCTTTAAATCTTTGAATAATAACTTGGAAATCTCCTGATTTTAACTTCTTTTATTTTACCTTTCCACTTCCTTATGGAAGCAAATCCTCTTTTGTCTAATCGTTTTAAAAATATCACCTTAAAAATGAATAACTTGTGCTTAATGGGTGTTTTGATGGAAATTAATCTAACGATAAGTGTCTGACTTTTGCCCTATACTCTATATCATATCAAATGATCAACTGAACTACATCCTCAAGCTGTTTTTATATGATTCATAGTTAGAATGGCATCAATTATAAGCTTTTTATCCAGGTATGTGATTTCACTAAATGAATCATGTGTTATCGTCTGATCAGATCTCCAGGACAGTCGTTCTCTGAAGCTCCACTGTGTGTTACTCAGTGTTACTCAGTTTCACTGCAGAACTCGGGAGAGCCAGTCTGATTGGCTTTGTGCACCACACACAGAGGGAAAAGGCTGTAAATCCTGCCTCATCTTGTGTCTGAGGTTTTGATTCACTGGACAAAAATGATGGGTTTGTATCTGATACTCCATCCCCAAATGACAGGGCTGATTTCATAACCTCAGCTCTGTTTGCCCAGGTGAGATAGAGGCCTGGAGATCCAGGCTAGTAATGCTGTAATACAGACAGGTCCCATTTTTACACAGTACGAAATTAAATTTAGCTCTTACAGTGCACTGTCTGTACAGTGTGTGTGTGTGTTGGGGGGGAGGTTGTTGTGTTTAAGTAATTCATACTTACAACCTGTTTATTACACTGTTTTTTTATTTACATGAGTGACATCAGCATAATGCTTTCTGTTTCGAGTCTATAAACTCAGATTTGTTTCTTTAATTATTAATATATTATGACACCACCAATCAATCATTCTACTTATTATCAATTCCACTACAGGTCGACTGGAGAAATACAGTATAATCAGCGTCATGTTGCAATGCCACAGAAACCGATGCCTCGTGACTCATTTAAGGCCCTGAATAGTACAATGACATTAAAGCAAGCACTAAGAAAGCACTTATTTGGGGATAAAATAGAGATTGTTAGGATGTTTTATTAAACTGTTATAATAACTGTTATAATAACAGCTGTTAATAATAACAGTTTTTGATTATACTTAGGAGTAATATTGCTAATATTAAGGATACAGCACATAAAGATGCCACACTTTGATGAAGATGATTTTTTTTAATTTATTGGAAAACTTTCAATCAGTAATCAATCAATCAATATAAATCAATCATTTATAAATAATATTTTTTTTCAATAAGGCTGCTAATATATTGATATTATATTACCATATTACTATAATAGAGGCGTAATCCATTTTTAGAATATTTGTTTATTTATTTATTTATTTACTTACTTACTTACTTACTTATTGTAAAATACCCAAAATACTCAACGATTCTAAAAACGACCTTTTTGCTTTATAGATATCAAGACTATTGTATTATTATAATAAGTTGTTATTATATAACTATTAATAATAGTTAATAATGATAGTGCTGGGGTCTAAGGACTATTGGACTATAATAGGAACGCAATATTTTTCAAAATAATAAAAAAAGTAACTTCGTCTATTTATTTATTTACTTATTTATTTGTTTGTTTATTTAAAAAGTTTTTACCCCGTGTAATTTCTACCCTCTAGAAATTCTATGAGGTAATAAAAACTTTTACAATAAATAAATTAGTAAACAAACTGACTCTTTTACACTCCAGTGCTGATATTAGTGAACTCTGAGGAGGCACGAGCTCCTTCCCAGCGCTTTCATTGCCTCCCCTCCCCGCGTGACGTCACGGTCCTACCGCAGGACGAGCTGGCGGTTTGTCTGAAAGGCGGGAATGGTGGAGGGTATAAAAGAGGCTCCTTCTCACCGGGGAGCCTTTGGAAGTGCAACAGGAAGAGGAGAGGGGGGCAGAGAGTGGCAAAAGTGGCGAAAGTGTCACTCACTCCAGCCTGCACAGCGCCTCCCACCCAGCGAAAACGCGCGCGCCTGGATCTGCCCCCGTTGCTCCAAATTTGATGACGGTGCGCGAGGTCTACCATGAGCCTGGACAGGTGAGGTGTGGGGTCAGGGGACCCCCCGGGCGACGGCGGAAAATGGGCGCACTGAGCGTGGACCTGCTGGTCACCCTGCAGATCCTGCCCGGCTTCTTCTCCAACTGCCTCTTCTTCGTGCTGTACGACTCGGTGGTTCTGGTGAAGCGCGTGGTGTCTCTGCTGAGCTGCTCGGGCTCCGGGGGCGAGTGGCAGCGCATGCTGACCGCGGCGGGCCTGAAGTCCATCTGGAACAGCTTCCTGCTGGACGCATACAAGCAGGTAAGCGGCGTTGAGGGCGGTGCGCGCGCCTGTACTGTGGGCGCGCAGGTGGGCACAGCTTGCTATACTTTCCGCAGCGTGTATGTGAGCTCAACAGCTGCACTTTCTGCTGGATGCACGTGAGCAAGTGAGCGTTTCTGCATACATAAAGCATGGCTGCACTTTGTGCTGTATGCACACGAGCAAGGAAGCAAGACTGGACTTACTGCAGGATGCATGAGAGCAGCTAAACATTTGCACTTACTGTTGCATTTATACAAGCACAGCTGCTCTCACTGCTTGATGCATGTGAGTTAGAAGGCTGGGATGCACTTACTACTTTACTAAGCTTTTAATGTTCATCTCCTGTTTTAGTCAGCTCCTGTAGCTTTGTGTTTGCCCCAGAGAAGCATACTGTAAACAAATCTAAAGTAGCTTTCTATGTTCCTTTTTCATGTAAGCTTTAGTTTGCAGTGTGAAACTCTATTTGCCCTTTTTTCAGTGAGAGGCAAGGGTTATTGTATCACGCGGGTAATTCCATTCAATATAAAGAATTTTGAACTTCGAACTCCAGACAGTCAATGGCCCTGCAGGGCAATGCCCTTTAAATTTGTTGGAAACTTTGCCAAATGTCTGGGTCCCCTTTGGTGTTACTTTTTAACTGGAAATCTATCAAAGATTGCCTAGTAGAGCGTAGTAAGTTTTAGGCCTGTCAGCTTAATGCTTTCAGCATCCTCAACTATTAACTCACTGTCAGCTCCACAGAAGGCCCGAATGCCCCAGCTGATGAGTGCCGGGGTGATTTATGCAACTGGCATTCAACTAGTGGCACAATAGAAACAATTAAACCAAGCCAGGGGAGTACATTTGTTTTTATTTTTTTTCTAGGTCAGGCAAAAACCTGTATCGTATTTCCACCTTGACTCATACCCTGTTGTGTTGTAAGCAGGAGGATTTGTTCCACAGTGAGAGCAGAGAAAGGCAGGTTTGACAGATTTAATGCCTTTATTTAGCATCATGGATACTGACTAATCAGTTCTCACATGCCTACTCCATCATGTAAAAGACACATTCCTATTCAGGATCAACTTGTAATGGGCTTAATGTTTCAACATGTCATTACTGTAAATCTCTTACCGGCTCTATTGTCCTGTGCAGGTTTATGACGGACGAAAGAGGTCATGTGCCCTACATGTGTTTTCTTGGCTTTGTTTAGCCAGCGTGGCTCTTTTGTGGTCATTTTAAATCGATTCAAAGAATGCCGGAGCACAAATAAACACTTGCTGCAAAGATTCGGAAAGTTATAGAGACTGGCAGACTGGGATAAACCAAATTCCTGAGTATTTAGTGGATTGTTTTTGCACATACAGTTGATGCTGAAGATCTGGGTGCTCGAGAGTGGACCAAAAGTTTCCAGAGTTTCCATAGAAACCAAACCACACTTTAAATAATTTCTGGAGTCCACTGGGCTGTGTCGCATGAGCATGTGTATGGCTGCTGTGCGTCACCTTCACTGCTTTAACTGGGCCTCTCCTGTTACTGCAGATGTTGGTGTGTCATTGCAGTGCCTCATGATTAGTGAATAGGTACACACTTTAACAGATAAAGGTTCCTAAATTGTTCTTGGGTTGGATGTACAGTGATTACAAAAAGTATGTGGGCCCATATTATGGAAAACTGACTTTTCCTGACTTTTTTTGAGATATAAGACTTTGATCTAGTATATAAACATTATAAACATTGCTAAATGTTTCAAAACATACCAATCAGTACAGCTCATATACAGAAACGAAGCTGAAAAACAGCCCATTTTGAATGAACTGATTCTGTGATGTCACAAAAACCAACACACTGATTCAGTCTACAGAAGTTTAGCTCCACCTATTCATGCTGAAATTATAAGCAGTGGTTCATCCTGGACTGCTTTTTGAATTAGACACAATACAGAGCACCCAATCAGAGGAGAGCTTGTTTACATATATCAAGCTTAAAGACACAGTAACAGAACAGCCTGTTTAGTTCTAAGGCATAAAGAGAGTTTGCAAAATGGCCATGTAAAAATGAATTATGACGGTTTTTGGTACTTAAAGCGCACTAACATTATAAGTGGACCTCAGGGGGAAAATATATAATTTAAGAAAAAATTAGGATAGGGGCCGTTCAGCGTATTGATATTGATAAACTTAAATGTGGTTCTTTAGATTACTTCATAAAATGTTTAACAAAGTGGTATTTGCTTCAGTCCGTGACCCAGAAGGACAAGTGGTTTAGAAAATGTGTGTGTGTGTGTGTGTGTGTGTGTGTGTGTGTTTGCTTCAGTAAAAAAACATTTTAGCATAAGTAAGCTTGTATTCATTGATGGGATCATGAACTCAGAAGTGTACAAAGGCATTTTGGATGCAAACCTGCAGAAATTTGCAGAGAACCTACTCAAATGATAACAGTCTGAAACTCACCAGCTGCCTTCTGAAGGCACGTTTACCAAAAAGAACATGCTAGCTGGAATTGTCTGTTTAAAATAAATGTCACTTGATGGGACCATTTTGTATCCATTTTATGACATTGCTTTTTGGGGCTACTGTGGGGTTCTAAGAAAAACCTTTATTTGGTGTAGAACGTGGAGGTACATTTAACTTTAAAGAGCCCATACCATGAAAACTAAACTTTCCTCACTTTTGTAAAACAAAATAGTTTGATATAGTATGTATGATATGGTATGTATAGTATTGTTATAAGTTTCAAAACCATTAACTCCCAAATCTAAACAGTCCATTTACGGAAACTAAGCTGCAAAAACAGCCTGTTCTGACTTTATTGTTTGTGTAATGTCACGAAAAGTAACACATCTACATATATCCACTATTTTTAGCTTACAGCACTTTAGCCCCACCCACGCCCAAGGCGTGTTTCAGCCCAGACTGATTTTGAATGAGGTGCAAAGGCAGCCTGTTTCTGAAGAATAAAGAGAGTTTGGAAAATGTTCATGTAAAAATAAGTAGACCTGATAGTAAACCTCAAAAAAAGAAATATAAAAACAAGGAAAGAAAAATGTAGGCTGTGGGCCCTTTAAAAAGGTTGTTCACACTTTTAGAACTTGGTCCTTTAAAGAACCGTCCACTCAAACAAAAGTTCTTCTATATAATCTCCGCAGAGAACTCTTTATTTTTAAGTAGCACATCTGTGCTGGCACTAAAACGTGGTTATTTTCTTTTGTCTTTTCCAGGTGAAACTGGGGGAAGCAGCTCCAAACTCTAAAGTGGTGAGGGTCCCTGGAATCAGCAGCTGCCGATGGAGCACTGGTGGAAAAAGCACGGACGAGTGCCACCTGCTGGACTTTGAATCGTCGGGGCGACCCTTGGTGGTCAACTTTGGCTCGGCCACCTGACCCCCATTCATAAGCCAGCTACCGGTCTTCCGGCGGCTGGTCGAGGACTTTTCGGATGTGGCAGACTTTCTGCTGGTGTACATTGACGAAGCTCACCCCTCGGATGGCTGGGTGGCTCCGCCCATGAAGCCCTACTCGTTCGAGGTTAGGAAGCACCGGAACCTGGAAGAGCGGGTGACGGCAGCGCGCAAGCTCGTGGAGCTTTTCTCTTTACCCCCACAGTGCCAGCTGGTGGCTGACTGCATGGATAACAATGCCAACGTAGCCTATGGCGTCTCCTACGAGAGGGTGTGCATTGTGCAGAAGAAGAAAATAGCTTATTTGGGAGGAAAGGGTCCGTTTTATTATAACCTTAAAGATGTACAGCGCTGGCTTGAACAGAGCTATGGAAAGCGGTAATTTCTAACCCGGGACGTCAGAAAGCCTCTTTTATGAATGGTGGAATAGTTTATTTTTGTATAATGGAGGGGGAAAAAAAGGAAGGTAAAGTGCTTTCAGAACTGTTTTAAGGTGGCTCCAGTGGCAACACGGGCCAAGCTCCAAGTCAATTTCCTGAATTCTCTGAAATGATCAACGAGTCTCCTGGGTGGAATCCAACATTCCTAACCTCTTTTATACACAGCGAATAGAGACACTAAACACTAAGCATTGCACTTCGATTTTTGATATGACATTGCTGACCACAGAAAACTGATTTGTTTGTGCACTATCAATAACAGTCATTTGCCATTCATGTAGTATTACACCGTGTAATACTTTTTCACATAAATAACATTCATCGCTTCAAAAAAGAAAAACAAACCAAATTGTTGAACAGAGAAGAAAGCACAATTACCCAGCTTTTATATATAAAAAGATAATTTATTTTTGTTGACGTTTTAATGTTTGTTGTTTTTAATATGTGACCTGTTTATGTAATACCTTTTTTTCCTGTTTGAAGTTGACAATCGCTCATATTCCGTTTTAGTGGTCATCTTTTTCATGCTTGGTACACTGTTACACATTGCTGGACTGAGAAAGGTAATGGTGCAGTCTGAGTCCATTCCCTGCCAATAGCACAATTTGAAAAAATAGAAATATAGATATATTCGGGCCTTAATTTTCTGAAAAAGTGACATTTTTTTGGATAATCTTTGGGATGGTCAGTGATGGTGATGATACGGTGATGTATTGGTACATGCAAACTGAGGGATCCATGATTGTTGACTGTGGCGATTCAACGTAGAGCCACGTGGTTCTGCTTGGACACTGCAGCTTTGACACAGTGCACAGGGAAGCTTATGAGAGAAATCCATCTGAAAGTTAAGAGGAAATGTTGCAGAAAGTGGTTAACCATTTGAGTCCAGTGATTCAGGTCCTCATTTATCATCTACAGGCTCTCATTTATGTCAAAGACAAACTGGCGTGCGTATGAAGGCCACTGACGAAAGGCTCCCGAATCCTGTCTGTGGCTGGATGAGCAGAGCCACGCCTTTTTGTCCTGACCCAAATGAGTGTTCCTGTAGAGACGATGAGCTCTAGCAGTTTTCTTAGGCGCCATTTACACATTTACTACACTTGCATATTCAGATAGTCAAACCCATGTTGTGCAGACCAGCTGCTTTCATACTATGAGAGAGAAAAAAAAGGAAAAATAAAGCTCATTTTTTTGCTGCTGACTGCGTGAGTTTTTCTCTCTTTATGCTTTCGACTTGGTTCTGGGAAATTCGTAACAGACGAGTCCAGATGGAGGCATCCTTGGGGTGGCAGAGCGAACGTTTTTGAGAAAAAATGAAAGCGAGAGAACGAGAGAGGAAAAACAGACATACATTCAGAGAAACTAGCTTCTTCAGGGTGGGGGAAGCGCTGGTGTTATTGTTTCCATTAAAGCGATGGCTGCAGACATGCTCTTGGTGATGGGTCTGAACATGTGTTGCACTATCAAATGGTGTGACGCAGAGGGTTCTGGCTGAACTTCTGCACCTTGCAGTCTGCCAATAACCAAAGAGCAAAGCCTCGGGGAGAACATGTCCTGGGGAAGCGCCATGAAACAGAAACCCTTGTTGCGGCCCGGCATCGTTTATCCGAGCGGAACGGGCGCATTGGAACCGCTGAGGCGTTATTCACGGACTGCTTGGATCTTGGAAAGCAGTGCGCAGCGCTGTGGGACAGGGAGGTTGCCAACATCACGGATGGAGGTGGTAGGGCACAGGCTCACATAACAGCGCCATACAAGCCCACTCCAGGAAGGAGGCTCGCAGAGTACTTTTTAGCGAGTAGGTCTGGTAAACAGGTGCTGGACAGAATCATAAGCAGCTCGTTAGGAAGTGTCCTCATTTACAAGGACCGAACCCCCTGAAGTGAGGAAAGGGGGTTTGGGTGTGGAGTGGTGGGGGGGCCTGCTCCCATTTATTTAGCCACAGCAAAGACATAAAGCATAGTAATGGGCCGAGTTAGCCAAATCAGCCTATATAAATTAAAACAAAATGTTGATACAAGCATTCAAATGTATGCGTCTGCGCTCAGAAGATAAGGCCTTTATGTCCTTACTTATACAAGGGATTATTTGATTTGGATGGCCAAATTATCCCATGTCTGGTATCAATATCTCTTATAAATCAACTCCAACTCCCCCCTGGAGATGCCAAACATTTTATTCATACTTAGTCCGCCTCTTTTCTTCCTTGGAAATATAAGTGCAGGAAGAAAAAAAAAACAGCCTTGCCCTAAAAATGCTCTTTCCAAAAACTGAGGCTAGTTAATCTCAAGACTTACAAAGTAAATACTATAAAACAAATATGAGTAGTGATGGTAAATAATAGAAGTGTTGGTCCACATTCAGGCCCTTAGAGTCCAAGGAGTTGAATGTAAAATAATTAGTCATTTAGTCATTTGACCTCTTAAACTGCAAGCTTATTATTCAATTATTAATCTCAAGACTTAATGAATACTGTGAAACTAACATGTAAGCCATATGAAGTAAGAAGTGTGGGCTCGTAAGAGTATGGACTCTTGGAGTTAAAGGGGTCAAATGAAAACTAATCAGAGTAGAGCACTCTTTTCATTCATTCACAGTCCAGGTACTCGTTTCCTGTTAGTATTTAAAGGTGTGGATCACTATTAGTGCTGGACGGTTTCCAAGCTGTATTTCCAGTCCCTGAGATGATTATAACCCATATAACCCTCCTTTTTTCCTCTCTCTGGTTATAGCACATAACCATATGGTCCTTCATAACAGTTACATCATGCTGATGCAACCCTCCATCACTGCATGCATGCAAACATGCACGCCGGCACGCACACGGTCCATGGCACGGCCTGATGTTGGCTCAGGAACACAAGTTTAACATCAGTATTCAGGAAAACGACTCAGTTTCACAGACTGTGCTGAATAGTCTTCTGGAGTAGAGCTGTCTGTGTTCCAGCTGCAGTGAGAGCCGTTCCTCTTGAGCCTCTTTTTCCAGCATTTGGAGATTGAGCACAGACTACTGATGCAGTCCAACTGTGAAGAAGTCATCAAAACCAGAGTGACCACAGTGCCACCTCGTTCACTCTTTAACTTATTTAAGAAGTTCTCCCAAGGAAATCAGATTAATATCAGATAGGCAGCGTACATAAAACATAGAAAACAATAAGCAAATTAACTAAATATTTACATTTTTAATAAGAGTTCATATTAACCTGTCGAAGGGGGAATTCAGAGTGGTTTGATGTGAAATGCTCTGTTCTAAAGAGGCGTACAAGGTCAGAATTGTTCACAGTGTTAGTGGTGATAGGAACCAGACGTCTGAAGAGTTTTGAAATGGTTATTACTACACAGCCTGATGCATGAGAAATCTGTTCCTGGTGGAGAGGTATATACAGGGTGTTGTAAGGCAAAATAGTCCTCATGGAAAACTTTTCAGATTATCAAGATTACATATAACAACTCAGAAGGCATGCGTAGGTTCACTGCTCTTTTTGGATAACAAATAAAATGTCTATATTTGTGTAGTATCCATCACAATCTTTGGTTCCTATCAGTACCATTTCACATCAAACCATGCTGAATGACATCTCAACAACTGAGTTATGCAGAAATTCTGAAAAATCTGTGGAATTTCCCTTTAAACCTCAAGGAATTCCTCACTTTCATAACTTCATAACTGCATAATTTACATATTAATTTTATAGTAGTCGACATATTCTTAGTAGTTGCTGAGTTATCAGTCTTAAGATTAATAACGGAATTGTTTAGGCTGCTAAAATGTATTTTTCTGCAAATAGACAATATTCACAGTGTGATTTATGGTCATTCGTCCTTTTCATATTGCTAAATAGGGACCTCTAGTGTTAAATATTCACCAGCCGTGGCACTATGCAAATACCCTCAGCTTAGTTTAGTGGTAAGTGGCAGTTCCAAAAATCAGCAGCACAATGACACATACACAACCGCCATCACCAGCACATAATCTTATGTGCTTTATTTTTGCCTTTCAATGATAAAGACCAAGAGACTAATCTCTGATACTGAGTGTAAATATTAACAGTGAATCAAAGCATGCATGCATTATTGGGATTTGTCAGAAAATATTTGCAGATTGCAAACCAAACTGCCCATTGTACAGTGTATTTTGCTTATTGTTGCTGTCAGAACAAAATGTCAGAAATGGCAACTTTGCAGGAGAAGGAAAACAGACCTGACTTTTAATGTAAGTTAATGTAACAGGTAAATTAATGTAACAGGTAAGTTCTGTAACCCTGAGATTATTGACATGAGCGCCCATATCCGGGTAGCCAGGCTTTAAAGGGGAATTCCATTGTTTATTTAGATGTAAACAAAGTCATTTAGAGTAGTTCGGTGTGAAATGCTCCATTTTAGAGAAGTGTAATGTCTCTAAAAGCTCCCTCACAAAGTTACTATATTAAACAGCTACAAAAGCTACATTGCCTGACGCCTGAGACATGGATGGAATTACGAGGCGTGTGGGGGGCGGGGGGCTGATGCCTAATGCCTCTAATTAAGACTTGGACCACCTAAAAGTGGTTAAAACAACAGTTCGAGGTGGTCGAAACATGTAAATATTCTTTGTAATTGTAATTGTAGATATCACAATTTATTTTCCATTTTCCTATCTGGAGTAATGTTATAAAATAATTTCAGATACCCCTAAAGTGGACCATACCATTTCTTAATATTAACGTTAGCTTCACATCTCGTCTGCCTCGAAAGTGCTGTTGTCGCGCGCGCCAGTGGAGACGCTGTAGGTTAGTGTAAGTAGCCACTTAACGCTAGCTGTCTAGCTAGCTTGTTTAATACACTTTAACTTTCTTAACTTCGTAGTTTATTAATTAGGCTGTGTCAGTGGAGGAACACTAACGTTAACTAGTTTCTAACTTTTGCCTGAAGTTAGTTTAACTAACGTTAGCTAGCTAAAACTAGCGTTTGCCTTACCAAACGTTAGCTAACGTTAGCTAGCCGATAACGTTAGCCCTCCCTTTCATCTCCAGTGTTGACATTACCGATATAAAATGTCACATATTATCTAATGCTAGCTAGCGCTGGTGCTCAAGTAGTGAGACAATGTAAAGATAATATTTGACACCAATATAGAGATTATTATTTCATTATAATAGTGTTTGGTGTGGCTGTGGTGATGTAGCTAGGTTAGTCTTTTGCCTCTTTGATATTAACGTTAGTTTTTATAATAGGCACCCCCTTTATTTTCATTCAGTAACGTTAATTCAGGGGTTTTACCTGGGTGGGTGGTTGATCAATACTCCATGTGCTAAAGGCTGAGTAATTTTATCAGTTCAGAAGTGTGACTACTTTCTTGAACTCTTCACAGAGTCATCATGAGCAAGAGGAGAGGAGATACATGGCACTTTTTTGTGCTGAAAAAGAGTAAGTTGAAACTTGTAAAAATTAGGACGTAGAAATGATAATGCAGCCTGTATTTTATGTGGTTGCCATGCAGGCTTAATTCTGAGCAGGATAGTAAGGGTGATGGTGAGTTTTACATGTATGTGCTGTTGTATTATGGAAGCAGAGGGAGGTCAGAATGGCAGTCAGCAGACAGGAGGAGGTCAGTAAGACTGTGAACAGGCAGACTGTGAACAGGCAGGACCAACTGGCAAAGAGGTGAGTTAGAAAGGAGATTGGACTTAAAGGTGTATGCGGTCATACCAGATATTTTGGCAAATTCTTTCTGAAAGTACTGTTTAGGCAAATAGTACTTTCAGAAACTGGTGGGGTGCATAACAGTTATACCCTGCTGTTCTCAACTAATGTGCTAGGACTTAGGACGTAATAAAGTGTTGGCTACAGATAGTCATTGTGGCTTAGGCTTTTGAGCTTTCGTTACTATCTTTTCCATTTATTCAGAAGTGAGAAACATATGGCTCTTATGGAAAAGATCCTGTAGAATATGGATTTAGTCTTCAAGGCAAGAAAACAGCTGACAAATTTAGATTATTGGGTGGCGTGTCCCTTTAATGTTAGTCAGGCACAGGCCTAGATGCTCGATGGTAGCAGTAAATCTGCCTACCTTTTTGGCACATTGATATCAACTTTGGTTCTGGTATTAGAGGGGATCTGACTTGCTGACAGTATTGCTCTAGAATACTTTGTTGGTGACCCCTGACTACAAAAGTTGTGGTGTAGTATGTGCCATATGATCTGGTGTAATGGAGCTGTCAT